ATTTGATATTGGAAATCATATAGCAAACTGGGTTTGTAGGCGGATTTGGAGGTATATTTGAAATCTGCACCAGAATCCCCTTTTATGTCTATATTTAGTAATGTTGATTCTTGTAGATGATATAAGAGAATCAATAGTATTAGTAGAAAATAGTTTTTCTTCAAATAATAAATTAAGGATATCACCAAGATATTCATATAATTCTTTATCAATTATTTCTTGCATTTGGGGATTGATATCAAAAAGCTCTTCGTATTATAACCTATTAAGAGAATCATATATTCAAGGCGAATCAGTATGTTGAATTTTATTTTGCGACTCCATATTAAAACTAATGAAACTAGTAACAGTATAGTAAATCATTGTATTAAACCCTCGATCAAGATAATTTTTTTGTCCTCTTTGTTCATTATCAAATGCAAGAAATAAAAGTCCTTCGGGTAGTGGTTCTTCTTATTTTGATAGTTCTTCTAATTATTTTTGAAATCGAAAATAGCTTCCTGAACCCGTAATATGAGTATCAATATTGATAATCATCTTTGATCGCGCAATTGAATATTTAATAGCTGAGAGGTCAAGTTGAATTTTAGAATTATATTTTTCGTGTTGTGCACCATAGATCGAATCAACTGCAATAGCAGTTTTAAAAAGTTTTTCTTGGCCTAAAATATTAGAACCTTGAGTATTCTGAATCAAAGTTTCGATAAATGCAACAACAACTTTATTACGTCTATTGAGCCATTCACGAGGACTATATACTATAAGACTCTCTATTGAAAATTTAGTACTATCTCAGATCAATAATTCTAAATCATTGAATAATGATATATATTCTGCATTAGCTATCTCAATAATTGCGTCAATACGCTTTTGTTAATTAGCAAATCTTGAATTTCATTGTCTGATAAGAACTTCATTATTATTGTATTATTCATTATATAAATTTTGCATTTCACTTATATTGTCGTAGGCCTGTTATAATTGTTTTTTTAATTCTGCTATTTCATTTTTTTAGTCTTCTATATAATTTTGCATTTGTATAACTTGATCATTAAGGTTCGCTATTGATTGTGATTTTTGTTGACTTATTTGCGTAGATTTTAAAAGTTTTTTGGCTTCATCAAGATCAAAAATTGAATTGATATAATTATTCTCAAGCTGGAGTCTTTTATTCTCTTGAACAGAACCTACAAGATGCTGATAAAATCGATTAGTAACAATAGCTTGGTTATAATGTCTTTCACAAATTGAATAGACATTCAAAGAAAAATGTCGATTAACAAGTTTAGGAAGGTAAATGGGGGGGACAAGGGCAGTTCCCACTAAGAAGGAATCTGCTTTCCATTGCCTTCCTGCTATATTCCTTTGTATT